AAGGGGTGTTTGGTAAGTGTACGGCGCTCGCAACTGCATAAGGTCATATGAGTGCGCGGGACACACCAAACATTTTCAATTGGTAGGAAATTTTGGATTTTGCCCGGGTGGCGGCCGAAGCCTGCTCTTATCGATTTTGGACCACCAAGGGATGTAAACATTTAACCCACACGCACATTCACACAGATACACAGAGTGACCATGACTATGATTGAATGCTCATGCACCACAAATACTTTAAAGGGTGTAATGTGTAGGTATTTCTCCTCTTTTTTTATATTCCATACTGTTTGCCCCAGTTTTTGTGTATATTTTGGGATTTGATGAGAAAGAGTTATTGAATTTTTAGGTTTCACAGCAATCTAGAGGTCTAGCATGTCTATAACTATTTTGCGCACATATGTATTAGAACTGAATAATTGTAGTGAGCTACTTGACTGTATTTTGTGTTTTGATTTGATTTGTTTTTCTTTCTTCTGTATTTTTTTAACATTTAAAAGTGCAGGGTGAAGATAAATGTTTGATTTTGTGGGGGGTTTGGCTGAACCTTAGGGCCTGACCATAAAGTTTATCCTTTTTTTTTTTTCACCTTTCATTTGCAGAAGGCGCTCTAGATCTCGTGAACGTCGGCGGTCCCGCACACGATCTCCGGTTCGGCGAAGGCGCTCTCGCTCAAGATCAAGGTGAAACAGTTTTCTTCTTTTTCATTTTGCCTATTATTGAATTTGCAATTACTGTTATTCTTTGTGAGGGGGATGTTGTGGTTTAGAGTTACGGTGTTTGCATCTCATTCATTGGTCTGAGGTTTAAAACCTGAAGTGATGGAAAATTTTCAAGTCTAAAATTTTGTCTTTTCACCTCTTTTCCTGTTCTCTAACCATGTTCTGTCGTCTGCTTACGTCTCCACTTTCTGCCCCCCCCACTCCCACCCCCATTTGCCCCCTCCTCTGGGCTCCTGACTTTCTGAAGCCTTTCTACTGCTACTGCCTGGCTCCTTCTTACTGTTACTGTCTTTCAGCCACACCCTTGATCTTAGGGTAGGTAAGATCTAACACCCAACCTTGTGGGATAAGGAAGTAAAAAGCTTGGAGGTCCCATGTGCAAGTTGTGCTCATTTAAGATCCCTTAGTGGTCCTAAAATTGATGAGTAGTCTTCTTATTCCTACCAAACTTGAAAATGGTTAACGTGTCCAGTGAGCTCATATGACCTGCAGTTGTGAGTGCTGTAAAATTCACCTTGATCAATTTGAACTAACAAAAACAATTTTTTTTCCCCAGGAGAAAATCTAGAACACCGCCGCGATCATATAGCAAGCGCTCTCGGTCAAGGTTAGTGTTTTTACCATTAAGTTTCTCACAAAGAAATACATAAATATGTGCATTATTCCCAGTCATCTGTGATTTTTGAACATCAGAGAAGGGCTTTCTCTATTTTTGCACTTTTGTGTTATCTTGTCTTGTACCACTGTGTTCAGTCATTTTGTAAAAATGCAATAACGGTATGAGCAGACGAGCTCTTTTTTGTAAGGTTGTAGATGAATGCATTTTTTAAAACCAGAAGTTAATATGATTTAGACTTTCATGAGAGAGATTTCAATTTTAAAAATTGGTTCATAAGTATGGCAATGTTGAAATGATTTTGATATTGAGAGGGATAAAATACTAAATAGAATGTCTGTGCTGTTTAAAAAGAAAATAGATTCACAGAGTAGGCTGAATGAAGATATAGTGAGAAAGCTACTGTTTGAATTACAAACTCTTTATGTTTGTAAAACAGTAAGTACTTATAAAATTTTTGGTCTGACCAGGTTGAGGAAATAGTGTAGTAAGGAAGGGAAGTTAGGTTCCCATTTTTTAACTTGACCAACAAGATATGACTTAATTTTCTATATCAGTGACAAACCTTATTGATACGTCCTATAGCTTGTTCCTTTTCGTCTGACCGCGATGAAAATAAGGTAAATGAAATTGCTCTTTTTAATCTACTCCGATTTTTGCCCATGGATTTAAAGGTTGGATGACCAACAGAATCTAAAAGCCCATTCATAAAGGTCACTGCAAACTAAGGTTCCGACAAGTTGTATTTGTTGTTAGCCTAAAGCAAGTAAAAAAAAAAATAATAGGGGATGTGCACACACCTAAAACATTACAAAGTTGACATATTTTCCTCAATACCACATTTAAATGTATGCCTAAGAGGCATGACTCAAGAGACAGGGTGAGTAATTTTTGGACTCGCATGGAGACGTCTAGACGTTTTGGGGATGGAATCGACAAGCTTACACTTATTTTAGTGGTCCTGTGTATACATCCAAAGAGTGGTTTTTGATACAGGGCCCAAAGAGAAATACTTTTTTACTACTGGGTCAAGGTTTCTTTTCACAAATATTTTTGTTCGGTCACTGGCCTGCAGATGTGCCATGCCAAGTTTCATGGGTACAGGTAAATTAATAAATGAGCTAGAATATTTTTAACGTGGACAGACGAACGTGAATGTTCTTACTAGGAAGGCGCACATGTTTGCATTTTTTTCTCTCTCTCAGGCCGCAACCATATTAACGCCCGACACCGACAGACGGACCAGACCCGCCGTTTTCCGTCGGGTGCGGCCGACCATATTAACACCGGTTTTTGTCAGTCAGACACCACCGTCTTGCAAATATGGCGTGTAGCAGAAGAATAAAATTGTTGTTGTTGCTGCTTTTGAGACGCAGACAAAAAAGGAAAACCAAGACAAGAAGAGTTTCAGTTCATCCCATCCAAAGAAAGCGTGATACACTTGGTGAATTTCATAATTTGTTTCCTCAGTTGTTGGAAGATAGTGAAAAATTCCAACAATACTGTCGCATGAAACAGCGGTTTCAATGAGCTGCTAGAGATATGCAGAGCTGACAAAGAACTGCTGCTGCTAGAATTCTGTGTAGTGGCATTGAGGCAGGAAAGGGGACACAACTATGCACAGATAAATATTTAAAATTACCTTCCATCTCACCCGACGGAGCGTCTTCGATAGAACATGTTTTATCGGAGACGTCTGACCGGGGACGACACAGGACGTTGGGCGTCAGTATGGTAGCAGAAACCGTTTTTTGTTACCTTCCATTACTAAAAAGCCGGTGCGCATTCTTTTGTGCCCGAAGACGGTCTGGTCCGTCTGTTGGTGTCGGGCGTTAATATGGTTGCGGCCTCACTCTCTTCTCTTACCACACACCTATACTGATGCTTTAAAATAATATTTTTATTTACATGGTTTGAACAATTTGTGTCTTTGTTTGATGTTGCTTTTGGAAGCACTGCTAGATGAGTTGATGGTAAATAAACTTGGCTGTGACTGTCCTTCCAGTGGATTCGGAAAGTAAGCTGGACAATCAGTTTTGATGACCATATAAGTAAATTTACTGATCTTTCAATCTCATTTGAGGAAAAGGATTTTCTATTGTATTTGTAGATTTTACTTTTTTAAAGACTGACTTGGTACTTAACTGTATTTCATGAGAACAGCTTTTCACGTGTGGATTCATTTATTTCAAATATGGATATGTCAGTGCTTGACTTGTTGATTCAAGTGTTGACCCTTTGAGAAGTGGACTTGTTAGAGAAAGTAATTGACAAAAACTATGTTCAATGGAGTATGAAACTTTTTTGTGGGATTTTATGTAAGTTACTGTTTTTCATGTGGGCTCTATCTTCGTTTTTAAGATACTGTAAGGTATTGAATTTTAAAAAAAAAAGGGGGGGGGGGGTGGGGATGGGATGGTCCAAAATGAATTTTTTTAAAAAGGGGGTGGGGATGGGATGGACAAGTGGTCCAAAATTAATTTTTTTTTTTTTAAAGGGGGTGGGTGGCACATTCAACCTCATACCCTAGTATAGAACGCTAGTAGGAACAAATTTGTTTTATTTTTCCTTCAGTGAAATAAAGAACAAGAGATCATGAAATTTTAGTGATTTTAGCAAGTTACTGTGACAACTTTTCCCATTTAGGAACAAACCAGTTGCATAAAAAAATATAAACCAATGTACAAAAGTTTTTAAAATGCACAGAAAATTGAGGTTGCCAACCCGTTACCGGTACTAATACTGAGGGTAATTTGCCATTTTCCACCAAAAAAATTTCAATCAGATATATATCTAGATTCTAGATATAATTTTTCACATGATCATCGGTCCTGGCAAGCTGGAAAATAAATACGGGGAATGGAAAAAGGGGGTGGCGTGTGGGGCAAAAAAACTGAAAATGAATAATTATAGTAATTAATTGTTCCCAAAACGAGTTGGTTTTTTTTAAGTTGTCCGTAAAGCTCATTTTTTGTGATGTTTTTTTTCCCCATCAAAACTAGTTGCTGGTTGTTTTTGATAGTTGCTGTCCCCAAAATTGGTTTGCTGGCCATTTTTGATAGTTGTTTTTAAAAGTTGTTGGTCGTTTTTGCTCCCAAACTATGCAACTTTTTCTCTTTTCTTTTTTGGGCTGTTTTCTGCTGATATGCTCTTACAGATGTGTTATTCCTTGTGCACTGACTGGCCTTGTAGTGAGCTAACCTTTATTGCGGAATGTGTATTTTAAAAATTCACACATATATATATATATATATATAGATTGAGCCAAATGCATGCCTTGGTGTTCACACATATCTTCATTATTGTGATGAAAAGAATTACTTCATTCAGAATTTTAAACACAGGATATTTTTGTTTTTCCATTATTGAATGGAAATGATTACAGGACAGAAAAGAAATGAATAGAATTACCAGGGATATGCTGTGATTGTGTTCAAATCCAAAAGCACCAATCCTTTATTTCAGTTTAACCTGTAGCTTTATGTTCACGATTCTCCAAGTGCTTTTTGAGTCTAATTAATATCAATACATGCACATCCATACTTAACACCTCACACGGCTGGGAGTACTGTAAAATATATTGTGCAACTTTATGCATGTGTCATGTCGCAGGAGTCGTAAGAGATCTCGGTCCCTCAGCCGCAAAAGAAGCAAATCCAGGGATCGAAGAGCAAAAGAAAAAAAGAAAAGTCCGTCTCTGTCCCCTCCCCGCTTAGAGCGAAATGGATCTATTCCGACCAAGGATGATGATAAGGATGAGTCTTTCTCGAAACATGACAGCAGGTAAACCTTGAAAGTATTTTTGTAGTGGCTATTAGCATCACCCAGTACTGTCATTGTGAGATAAAGACTAAAGTTTATAGATTTGAAGTTTATGGAAGGAAAATTCAGTTTCTGTTTACAGGCTGGCAAAAGGGGTGGTAATCACAAAGAGGTAATTTTTTTTGGATATGGAATGAATGACTGAGGCAAAGAGATGTGATCGTCATTAATGTGGCGAGAACAAGCGTTTATAATGAGGTAGTTTTTAATGATGTGTATTGTCCACCCGAAGCTCCAAATCTAAACAAGTATTTTAAATATGCTGTACAGTAGTCACTTTATGGCTTTTACAAATCTGTTGAATAATGTATTCAACAAAGGTAGGTAGTAATAGCATGTACATGATTGTATGAACTGCTACATGAACATATTGTGGACTGCTCTTGTAAAAATATTGAAGCTTTACTGGTGATGGCCCACTTGATGATCTACTGGAATAATGCAGTTTTCTGAAAATCCTACCTGATTGACTTCAGTCTATCTGATATTCGACCGAGATAATGTGCGCTACTGTAATGCTCGTTTAAGGTAGTTAAACTATCACTCTCACACCCTGATGCGCCACTTTCAAGAAAAGGGGGGGGGGGGGGGGTTGTTATAGCCCCCTCCTCGTCCTGATGAACTACAGCCACCAAAACAATTTTGATATGGCCAGTGACAGTCCAAAACCTGTATAATATAGACGGAAAATGCTTAGCATTGTAGATTGTAGAAGACAAGTGAACTGTCAAGTGAAACAGTTGGACGGGTGTTTTGGTAGTCCTGTTCCTTAACTTGGAATATCTTTTTCTTTCGTATCTGCACCTTCTGTACTTTACCGAAGTCATAAGTATTTATGTCACGGCTGGTTAAATTTTGGTGCTTCTGAAAATAAGTGTCTTCATAGCTATGGCTGGATGCAAGACTCCCAACAAGTGCCAAGCACCACTGTTCATTTGTGGAATTTGATGGTGTTTATCGCAGTCTTGCACCGAGTCATCAATAGATGCATTTCAGCTTGAAAAACTGTTAAGATGGATGTTAAGGATATATTATTAGTTTAAATGTCATGTGTCTCATCCCATGTTGACTTGGACAATCCATTCTACTGCTCTCAATGGGCTTTGGTCATAGAATTGGCAGCTGAAAGGATTTTTTTCTCCTTGTTTAAAAGTGGGTGGTGGGAAAAGTTTTACTGTGGAAAACTGCTGACTACACTTCTGAGTTACATGTTATGTCTTTAGCCACGTGCTTCCAATCTTCCGTATTTTTACAGAAATCTGTACTTTCTGAAAGTTCAGTACTTACTCTCCGATTGTTATCAACTCCGTCCGTAAGAAAGTGCGATAGCCTCGGGCTACCGAAATTCTGCGGTAAAGGGCCCGTACTCGCCTTTGTATCGTCTTGTACAAGTTCCTGATATTTATTGTAATTTTCTCAGCAATAGGTCGATGCTTATTTCCCACAATTGGCCATTATCTCACTATGCATGCATTGCGGGTTAGTGGGCAATACATTTTAACTTGTGAATTGATCAAAATCTGGCTAGTCGTGGTAGCGAAATTTTTGTGCCAGTTTCCTCCTTTCTTTCACTCACTCATTCTTTTTATCTTTGGATTGGTACCATGGCTGGAAAATCTGCGCGTTGATCAAATAAACTGACTTGGGATTTTATTTAGAAAATCACTGTCAGAATATTTTTTTTAGCAAATTAATAGTAACTACTTCCCATAAATGTTTTATTTTGCTTTGTGCTGTTTTATTGTCATTCAGGATGGAGAAGTACTTGCGGACTTATTTTTTTGTCAGTGAGATAATAGTTAATGCCATGTTATAAGGCTCTGACACAATAATTGCTTTCGCTGAAAAAGTTACCTCATTAACTGCAAAAACAGAAGTTGAGATATTTGTGATTGAAGTAGATGGGGTTGCCTGGTTTCAGAGTTAAGAATTAGTGAGAAAATGGACACCAAAGTTTGTTGACTATATATAAGTTTGAGAGTTTTTTGAAACAGCAAATTTATATTTTTTGTGCCTTAAATCCAAGTTTTAGGTAAAAACCACACAAAATGTGCTTTTAAATGGATGCAAAGGGTGTTGAGCCAAAAAACAAAAATGGATAAGAGTTGCCAAACGAATGAAAAAATGCAATTTTCTCAGATTTCATTATATTGTCTAGTGCTTGATTTCACAGCGATGCCTCACATATACAATTGAACCTGCCATGATGGCTACTTTCCATATCCTCCTTGCGTTTTTTTCTGTATAATTTCACAGTGAAAACGGTTACTTGTCCAAGGTGGTTGCGGCCACCATATTTTAACAATCGACAACCAAAAATACATGTTGGAGAAGACCATACAAATCTCTCATCACCCAACCCTTTGTCATAAATTATGAATTGGCACCTTATGCTGTCGACGAGCCGTCATAATCCATTCACCTGTCGTTATTATATTCTTAGTCCCTCCAATGAATGTTGCTTAGGTCACTTCCAATGTTTATCCAAGCTCTGCTCACAACTCATACACAAATCGTGAGATGAGCGGTCTGTTTACCCAGTCCATAACAATGGACATGCAAACATTAACTCGCGACACAAGCGTCACTCGTTCGCTGAGTGTTTGCAACCCAATTTTTGTTTTACTATAGCACTGTCTTCCTCTTCTGACATATTTCATTTTATTTTGTCCTTGCATGAAACCAAAATTTAAAAAAAACCTAACTACAAAAAATCCCACAAAAACATATCCCCTCCACCCTTTCAAAAGCAGAAAAAAAACCCAAGCCTTATTGCAGTCCTAAGCCTGCGACCATCTCCAATTGGGAGCCAAGAATTTGTTTTTCTTTATTTTGATCAGTCCTGCGTATGATGGCCATCTGTCCTTTCGGCCACTTTTCTCCTCGACATTGCGTGGCCGTTTTACACAGGTTTTACGTATACATGATACACACACACACACACACACACACACACACACACACACACACACACACACACACACACACACACACACATGTGAACAGTTTTGCGACAAATGCAACATATCCGTTTTTCAGGCTCTGAGAAAAATGAAGATTTCTGTTCTTCTCCCTTTCTCAATATTCTTGAGCAGTTTTGGTTTTAGAGTAAACATGATGTATGGCATAGTTGATATTTGATGTTTGATGATATCACTACACATTTTTGACAAAACTCAACATGTCTATATTAATACTATAAGCAAGGGAAAGAACTGCTGACAAACTTTCATTGTGCACAAGCGAAGTCAGGTGCCACGAGAAAGACCTCGATTGCCGTGCAGAGGATATATGTGCCACGGTTTGTCACGAAAGGTCTTTCACTTTTGTTGCGTTTTGTAAAAAAAAAAAAAGTGTAAGTTTCTGCAGTTCTTTACGAAGAAAAAAGTCCCATTTTGTGGGAGGAAAAAAAGGCTGACCCTGGTTTTTGTCTCACCTTTCAAGATACATTGGTACTAGTTTCGGCCAAACTTCGAAAATGGCGTTTGTCAGGTTTTGTCGCAAAACTGTTCATTCATATCTAATATATTCTGTCCTTAAAAGCATTGTTGAAAACTGCTCTTATAAAAACTATCTGAACAATGTCTTCTCAGCCCAAAGGCCAGCACAGATGAAGGGGAAAATAAACCGAGGTAAATCTGAGATGACATTTGAATAATTTTCCTTCTAATTTGATAAATTTATCACATGAATTTTTATTTCTGGCATCGTTTCCCATTGACTTAGAATTTTAAAAGAAGAGCTTCATATTTTACCTGTAATTGACTTGCACCATCATTTATCAGTCTGTCTCTGCAGTGCCCTGTTTGAAAGGCTTATGTCTCTTTATATTTTCATGGCTCTGCTCATGCATAGTTGAAATTTTAGGGCTCAGATAGCATCTTCCTATCTTGCAGGTGCAACTCTCGAATTGACCCTTTATCATCATCATCATCATCATCATCATCATCATCATCATCATCATCATCATCCTTTCTCACCCTATGCTGGAGTATATGCCACTAAAGAAATCTAAATCTACTTCTGTCTCGGGGTATAGTTTTCACCCCTGTCCAGCTGTACCTCACATCTCCTTGCAGTCTGAATTTAAGTACCTCCTCCAAGTACTTCTATGCCTTTCTCTCTTTCTGTTTAGTTTTGGATTCCATCAAAGGCTTTGTCAGTACTCTTTGTTTCTGGTTTTCTCAAAGGGTGTTCAGTTAACTACCAGTTTCTTTGGTTTGTATATCTATTTCCTGGTGATTTGTTTGCTCCCATAGTTGTTCATACCTGATGATTTCAGGCCTTACCTGTGCAAGGTAATATTGGCGAATTCTTTTGTGTTGGTTATTCATGTCTGATTGAAGAGGAAAATGAGGAGGCAGAGGCCAGTACTGCTGTGGAGAGGATGATGGTTTTGGGAATACAAAAAGGAAGCGGAAAATCTGGCTTCTTTGCAGGAAAGACAGAAGAACTTTCAACCAGATATGCACTTGCACAATCAGTAAAACGACCCTCAGTGGTATTTTAGAGAGAGCAACGGAGCCTCAATGGACATGTCCAGAATGCAGGGATGTTGCTGATATGCACTTGCACAATCAGTAAAAAGACCCCCAGGGGTATTTTAGAGAGAAAGGAGCCTCAATGGACATGTCCAGAATGCAGGGATGTTGCTTCCTGAAACAATGAACAATGAAGTTATTCATGTCCTTGAAATTTGAAAGGAATCATCAGACACTAGTTTTCCTTGTCAACCACACTCAGAATCAGTCTGGAATTGAACATTTTTATTTTGCCATGGAAAAGTAATCCTGAAAGCATTTATCAGTGATGGAGTCAACGTATCTTGTATTGAATGTTTCTGGACTTGTCCTGCAAACTGTCCAGTAAGCGTATCCCGTTTAAACATCCCTTATTTTGATTCAGTTGGTGCTAAGTTGTGTTTATGTATTGTTGATGGATACAGTGAAGAGGAGTTCTTCCTGAAATTTAGGGATATGTGGAGCCCCAGTTTCACAGTATTTTCCCTCTCTCCCACAAACTGTGTTCATGTAATTGTGGAACAATTGCTTCAGATCTCTCATATCAAACATGAAAACTTAAAAGTCTTTCATGGTATTTCAAGGAATACGTTGTGCTTTTCAGTAAAAATTGTTATATTTGTATTGTGCGGATTTAAATCTGTATGGACTAGTCTTTCTCAGGACATTGTTGGAAAAGTTGCAGTAGTGGCCTATGCATGTCAAATGAGGAGTCTCTGGTCCTATTTACATTTTGTCTTGCTAATTTTTTAATAGAAGTTTCCCTGTGTTTTTTTGTGTCTATTTTGTGCAAACTGATGAATAATTTCAAAAGCCATAAATCATACACTCTCACACTTTTCCTTTTTTTTTTTCGGCATAGGTTTAGTCAGCTATTGGTCCTTATACTCTCTCTATTGAGCCATTAGGTTCTTCTGCACATCTTGTATTTAAAATAAAAATTCGTACGTTTTTCCTTTTTTGTTCTTTGTGACTGGTTGTTGGAACTTGATTGGTGTCTTTGGAGATGTTACAGACAGAAACTGTGCCCCTTGGGTTTATGTTTTAACTGTTTTAAACTTTTAAAGTACCACATACTTAGTTTGTTTCTCTTTCTGACATCAATTTTTTTCCTGTCTCATGTAAAGTTTTATATCCACAATAATAGTTTTGCATTGCAATGTGTTTCCATTAAGGTTGCTTCTTTTTACAGTCAGCCCAGCGTCAGTTATATTGCACAGCTTTTCTTCTTTCTTGGAGAGGATTTAGGGGAGGGGATATTGCTGCTGCTGGCACCCATCTTTATATTTGATTTGAGTACCCTTTGACTGTCTTATGAATGTAAAAGTCATGCCTAATCCTTGGGAAACACACCAACTTTATGATGCAACAAAAATCATAACGCAAGCACAGCTCTTTCCAATATCATTGACATTTCTTTCTTTTAAGGTGAATATCAAATTTGTTTTTTAATTGATCAGAAAAATCTGATTTTGACACAAATTTTCTGTTTGTGTCATGGGCCATACATGAAGGGAAATAAGCACTCCAGCCTTTTGAGAATGGCTCAGATATATTAAATACATAATTTCTATAATTATTTTTTTCTAGGTCCTCTGGACATGCAGACAAATGGATTTTGTCTTTAAAAAATCATCATAATATTCTTCTTGTAAAAACCAAAACTGCCCATTGGAATGGAATTATGGTGGCAGCGCTATTTTTGCCATTCTAAAAGTAGATAGTAAAAAAAATCCCAAAACTTTCTACATTGTTTTTACAAATGCATTGATTTTGTTTGAAAGGTTGTCTACTGCTTCATATATATCTATGTTTTGAGTTTTGTTCTTTGCACTTTATAAACAAATGCTCACCTCCCTTCTGCCTTTTAGGGTTACATATTATTCCATTTATGACTCCACTTGCCACAGTAACAAACTGACATTTGATTATTTTAACTCTTGCTTTTGTTCCTCATGCCCTTATTTGTAGAAATACAACTGGTGCTGGTTTTCTATTTAAAATCTGCTGTGGCTTATTAGTTTGTTTCTTTTTAAATGTGTGTATGTATTTGCATACAAAATACAAAAACAAGTTATATCATTATCTATACAGGAACTAATTAGTTTTGATGGTCTCCCTAGTCCCATGTGTGTTTTCATGTCCACTTGTTTTTGTTCTTCGAACTGTGCTTAATGTCACTGACAACTTTCCTAAATTTAACTGTTTCATTTGTTGGATCTGTAATAGGTTGTTCTAATAATAATCAGAAGTGGGAACATACTATAGCAGCTGGATAGTTTGTGATTGTGTATGCAGAAAGTGCCACAAGTACTTGTCTTTATCAAAATATATTATAGTGTAGTTCTGTGTCCCTTACTCATACTTGTTCCACCAGTAATAGAACTGTGGTTTAGAAGAAATACAAGTCTTGATTTAACTGCAGTCACTGATCAAGGTAGATTTTGCTGTAAATCTTGTTCCATATGCAGTCCTGTCCTGCATGATGAAATCTCATTTGTGCTGCATCTTGGCTTTGTATGATGTTGGGCTTATCAAACAGGGATCACTTGTGTTTATTAAAGAGTTTATGTGCCTCTTCCCTTTTTTTCCAAGGTCCTTTTAGTGGTGACAACTTCGGATATACAGTAGAGTCTGCCTAAACCAAACACGCTTAATCTGAGAACAGTACAAACTGAAAGAAAATACAACCCTCAGTTTTTATTACATCTATTTAAGCCACCTCTGTAAACCAAGAACCCAGCTAAACGGAAGAAAATCTGGTGGTCCCGCAGATTTCGGTTTATGCGGATTTCATTGTATCTCAGTGGGCTACTCTTAATCTGAAAAAGTATTGGTCTTGAATTGGACAATATATATATAATAAGTTTATTGTTTATGATGAAACATTATGTCAAATTGAGGGGAAAATTCTGCATCAGTTTATTTCTTTGCCATGGTGGACTGATGATTTTTGCAGACTCAGGTTTTCATTGATGTGGAATATCTTTGTTTTTGTTCAGGACTACACTAGATCGAATGTAGACTAAACTTACCAGTAAATAAATTTCTTTTTTGTTTGGGCCAGTCCTGTATTGTGCACATAAATTTTTGGGGTCAAAAGAGTGATCACAATTTCATTGTTTCATACATTCAGTTTTGTGCAGTGTTTGTTTTGTCAAGTTCTTCAGGAACATTTCTTGTTTTTATATGTTGAATCATCACATGTATCAATAGTTTTATGTTATGTTGGTGAAATTGTCATGTGTTGTTTTTTTCACTCTGCACAGTGCTAATGTTGAGGAAGATAATGGCAAAGCTAGCGCAAAAAAGAGGTAACCATTGTTGTACAGGTGCTTCACTCAATATGATGCTTTTTTTAAACCTATTATTTTTTTTAAAATTTGGTTTGTGGAGTGGCCCCTCTGTACTGTACATTCAATACAGCTGAAGCAAATGTAGCAGTTCAGTAAAAATGGGTGTGTTTTCACAAATCATTGTTGCTCATAAAAATGTCGAACCTACATCAACATGCCACTTTTTTGACATTTTACATTCTTATATATAGGCAGCTTACAGATGTTGCAAATTGCATCTTTTCTTACTTCCCTGGATCAATAACATCTTTCACACTCAATTGCTCGCTGCTTTTTGATTACTGTGATTGTATGAGTGTGTGAGTGTCCCAGTTACCTGAGTGTAGAAAGGTCAATGTTCCTTTGGTCTGTGTGTTCCTCTTTCTCTACCTGGAACTATCCATTGTACTTTTCCATGAACATTTAAACAATGCAATCTGTTCGACAGCTGGAGATGCATGAAAGGGGGTGTGTCTGTATATTACTTTTGGAAGAGTAGGGTTTTATTAATGCCTTGACAGTTGCTCTTGGTTTTTTTACTGCTTTCACAAAAAATTCTGAAGTCTCTCAATCTGGTAGTGCTTTGGGTTCTTCAGACTGTTTTTGTGGATGTCTGTATGAGATTTAGTCGGAATGATTTCGGTCGGTTTGACATGAAAATTTGTATTATCTTTTCAGGTCCCCATCCCCAGTCAAGCCCAGACGAAGAAGTCCTTCACCTCGTAAACGCAGTCGGTCTCGCTCTCCAAGGTAATATAGTCTTAATTTGTACTTTGTTTGATCATGAAAGGAAAAAAAATGCAGTTATGATCACATTAGGTTTGTGTTCTGATTGATGTTTAAAAGATTTGCTTTGTGGGTGGTTGGCGGGTGCTCTGGTGTGGTTTGCTCCTTCTTTCCTATCAAACATCTATTGTCCTGATCTCTCCTCCTTATTTGTGAATGTTACTCTCTTTTTCATCTATTCTTCGGCACTTATATGACCTTATTGTGTTGCAAGTGCCGTAAAACTCTTACTAAAACAAAAAGATTTGCTTTCTCTATTCTTCAAAGTGACCTGATAAACTATTTTTTAATCCCATCTGTGTCATAGGCACTATCTTGATAAAGTTTTGAAGACAGTCTGATGAATCTATGCTCCCCCCGTAAAGTACTGTAAACAAAGCAGTACATTTTCATTTGGTGCCAAAGTGGAAGGTTGGTGTCTGAGGTGTAGCAATTAGGCTATTTGCTGCAGCACACAGAATGTGTGAGTTTGGGTCCTTCTTGGAAAGAGGGGTGCGTGTGTGAAGAAAGGGGGGTATGTGTGTATGTCTGGTCTGTCTGTCTGTCTGTCTTGTCTGTCTCTCTCTCTCTCTCACTCTCTCTTTCTCACTCACTCTCTCACACACTCGCACTCACACACACACACACACCACACACACACAAACACCAAGTATCTCTCGTGTCTACTCCATCAAGTATCTATCTTCTGCTAAGATGCTGCATTCCTTTGTCAAAGTCTGCCCTGGTGTTCAGGGTCTAAGTAATCCAACTCCAAAAGGAGATCTGAACTGTGTCTATGGAGTTGTAAAACATTAAACAATCTTGCTAGAGTGGAATGGTCTTAGGTCAATCAAATGAAAGGGTAATAGATGACAGCAAACTGCTAGCTTGATAATGTCGATATCAAGGTGCCAGATTTTTTTCTATAAAATTTTAATGGCACAGAATGTTATAAATCTTGAATAACTTATACTTTGGGTGTACGAACTGCTTGAATATGGAAGTGACTATCACACTTATTTCATTTTTCTATTATGAAAAATGATTGCCAACACTTTCAAAAAGTAAATCGATCCGCGCACAAATAGCGATTATATTTTCTTTCAAAGTAACATAAAGTATCACTCTGTTTCCCTCTATTAATAATTTGTCTCAAAATAAGGTCACACCTGTGAAGATATCTTAGACCTGCCACTCATCCCGATGTTTTGTACCAAACATCCTGATTTTCCTGATTTCGAAATGTATCCTGATTTTTTGTTTCATCTGCCTTTTCTTTTCCTGGGAGAGCCGGTTAAACTTAAGGGAATAGGCAGCTGAAATAACCTTGTTATTATTAGGACATGTACTTATGAATTAAAACTCTCCTATATTACTTGGTATAGCTATAACATGATGAGGGCTCTCGTGGTCTAGAGGTACGGTGTTCCCCACTCATTCAATAGGTCCTTGGTTTGAAACTTGACAGGGACGGATAATTTTCTTCTCCAAAATGTTCTACCATCACCTGCTTTCCTTCTCTCTAACCGTGTTCTCTCCTCCATGCCTTTAACTTTTTCTGCAGTCTTTCTTCTGCTACTCCTTGGCTCCTTACTACTGTTCTTCAGCCACACCCCCGATCTTAGGGCGATAACATAAAGAACGCCGAAACTTAAGCAGCTGAAGATCGACTCGGACAGGCGCCAATAGGTGTCTGCTTGACTCCACAAGCAGGACGCCTAGGCCTAGACCTAGAATTGCTTAAAATGTAATTCTGCTGGGTGACCGCCCTAATTTGACGACGCTGATTTAAAAAATGTTATTAGTTTTTGTCTACCGTGAAACACCAGCTCTGAAATGACCATTTAAAATTGTCCCCAGTCCAGTCGGGTGACATCGCGCAAATCGCTCAACCTGAGTTCGCGACGGCGAGGCGGCATTGAGAGTTCGCGACCCCAGTGCTTTCTTGTCACGTCTCCTTTTTTAAAAACAGTGAAAACAGTTCACAACAAAGAGTGAGCTTAAGGAGAAGTCACATTTTCATTGTTAAAAAATGGAGATACGACAAGAAAGCAGTGAGGTCGCGAGTTGACAGGGGGGCACCCATCCCAGCTTTTCGGCGTAATAAGAATGTAGTTTGGATTCCGATAAAGCCGACAACGCCGATCCAATCTTAAAGCCGCCTGCAGTCTGCCAGTTCTATGTGGGACAAAGTTGGAAATCATAAGGGAATTTTTATACTTATCGACGCTTACTAAGTCTCTGAAATCGGCGTTCTATATGTTTTCGCCCTTAGGGTAGGTAGGATCTAACACCTAGCCTTCTTGGATAAGCGCGGAAAAATCTCGGAGGTCCTGTGTGGGAGTTGCCCACCTGAAAGATCCCTTGATTGTCCCACCCAGGCAAATTTCAGAATTAATTTCTACCAAACTGAAATTGTTTAATGTGTCCCTTGTTCTCCAGATCATTCATTTTAGTGTAAATCTGGGTAACAGACAACTTAATTTCACAAAAACTTAATAATTTATATTTGTAAAATTTCTGTATTTTAGGTGGTTACATTTTAACAGATTTTTTCCTATGGATGGAAAGGCCTGAATTCTTTTTTTCTTGATAACTTGTTTGGGAAAATGTATATTATCCAGATTTACATCTTATCATAATATGTGCAAAGTTTAAAGGCGATAAATGTGATAGTTGTTTTAGCTGAACAAACTATCTACAACACCACCCTCTCAGAAAATCAGCCATATAGTTTTAACATTAAAATTATAACACAAAAAAGCACTGTACAAAGAAATAACATTTTTAAAATGCTTTTTATAGCATACTGCCCTCATTGGGAGCTGTTGGGTTCGATTCTAGAGGTATGAAATAAAAGAAAAATCTGATTTTTGAATAATGTTTTCACTTGGATCGATTAAAATCGGCCCAAACCTCAGACGCCTGTCCCCTTAATCAGCCGTAAGTGGAGCGCTAATTTCGAAATATCAATGCCAGATTTAGTAGTTGACTTGTACACATTATTTCAACTATAATCGGAGAAACATCGATTTGGAATTCAGACATGGATACTCTCAAGATCTACTTTAGCTTTTGTTATTACACAGAATTCTACATAGTCCGAGTGGGTGGTTGGCGGGTGCTCTGGTGTTCCTTGCTCCTTCTTTCCTATCGACCATCTGTCATCCTTATCTCTCCTCTTTCTTTTTTATGTATGTTACTCTCTTGTAACACAATCTATTCCTAGGCACTTATATGACCTTTTTGTGTGGCAAGTGCCGTAAAACTCTTAACTAAAACTAAACCGTACCCCGATGATAGCCTGATATCTGTTACAATTGTGACATACTAATGAACAATTCATCACTCTGCTGCTTCGTTTAAAAAAGCTTTTTCCGAATTCTGATTTGTAAGACCCGTCGTCAAGACCTGTCTGGTCTGTAAAACTGTCTCGAATGTGCCTTGGCATCACGTGACATAACCTCGTATGGGTACCATGTGTGTTGGGGGTAGTGCTGTGCGCTACTTGATATTTTACCACTCTCAAGCGTATCGATACAAGGCTCAATACTACTCAGTGCTAGACATATCAACTATATGTAGGGGGGGGGGGGTGTCGTGGATCTTCGAAAGGGTCCTTTTTTTCATGTCTCTGGGGATTCTCTTATTTGTTTTGTTTTGTATGTATTTATTTATTCTTTTATTTTGTGTTTCATAATCCATGTATTCAAATAGTATGTACAAAAATGTTCTACTTTTGTTATCATGGAACTTTTTATTCAGTGCAAAAACGGAGTGGACGGTTGGCGGGTGCTCTGGTGTGGTTTGCTCCTTCTTTCCTGTCAAACATTTATTGTCCTTACCTCTCCTTTTTTGTGTATGTTACTCTCTTGTAACACGTCTATTCTTCCGTACTTATATAACCTTATTGTACTGCAAGTGCAGTAAAACTCTTGCTAAAACTAAAATATGCAAAAACGGAGGCTCATTCCCGGTGCCAAGACTGACTAGCCTACACACTACACATACCATCTTCTTAATGCTTAGCCTGAACAAAACGAGTTTTATAATTTAAAAAAACACTGGACAAGTTCATCTGCCTAACGCACAACTTTAATTAAGAAGTAACCTAATTAACTGACTAACCCAAGGAGAGTACACGGCGCACCAGTAGCAGAAATTTAGTTGCATTGGGGGGTTCCAGGCTGAGTGCCTTATCACGTCGGGGTCACGGGGGTCAGCTCCCTATCGCTGCTATGGCTGGGCTGACTTAATTTTTGGTACTTTTCAACTTCAAGTTTTAGGCGTGTTGCTGGTTATTATCATTTAATGCATACAAAGCACGTATTTCTGCTCTTGAGACTCAGAAAAGAACAGACTTTGTAACTTGTCTGAATTTTTCAGGACAAGTGTGAATGTAAAAAATTTAAAAATTAATATTAACTCTTTGAAGACGCAGAGTAAGAGACAGCTGCATTAACTGGTAACGCATGAATTTTACCCTTTTTTAGGGGCCCATAAAAACATTACTTTTAGAGATAGAACAAAAATGGTTTTCTGTTATTGAAACTAGAACAATAGAACTTTTTAGGTAATAGCATCATTTAGATAATAAAACAATAGCTTTGATGCAGTTTATTGAAGAAAAAGTGGTCCATCAGACTAATAAAAAACAAAACAATTCCTCCCGGCATAAGTAGACCCACCTCTTCCTCATCATCTGGATCAGGAGAACCATTGTCTACTAATGAATTGCAAGCTTCACTTTCTAAATCAACAGCTACCCCATCTTCTTCGTCAGTTCCATCTTCCATCACAATTTCAAGCCAATTAAACACTGATTGACTTCTGGACACTGCCATTTTCAGTTGTAGTTTCGATTACTCAATGCGTTTATGACTTGAACAAAAACGCTTCAAAATACAGCGTCATTTCAATTAGTCAGCCTCATACCCCTGTACTAGTAGAAACAAATTTGTTTTATTTCTCCTTCAGTGAATAAAAGAAATCGTGAAGTCTTAATGATTATAGTAAGTTACTGTGACAACTTTCCCCATTTAGGAACAAACCAATTTCATTAAAAAATATAAACCATTGTACACAAGTTTTTAAAATGCACAGAAGATTGAGGTAGCCAACACAGCACTGGTACTAATACTGAGGGTAATTTGCGATTTAAACACACACATAAAAAAAAAGTTTCATTCAGATATCTAGATTTAAGATACAATGTTTCATGTGATCGTTGGTTGTGACAACCTTGAAAATAATAAATGGGGGAGGGGGGATGATGGTGGTTCTGTAGTAAGGAGCGGGGAGTGCGCAAAAAAACCCCGAAAATTGATAGGGGCGGTGGGAGGGCTGATTCGATACCTTAGAGTAATTATCAAACTTTTATCCCTTAGGATGTGTGCCATAGGAATCTTTAAAATTAGTAGGACACATTTGTCTAACGAATGTGTCAGGCGCGTCGACCTGTGTAAAACAGCCTGTTGGACAGATGTGTCTGACGTGTCAGCCATACTCATTCTTGGTCTCTTGCTTGGGCCTGGCCTATCATTATCATTGTCACTGTCACTAGAGTTGACAGAGGGCCCGTCGCTGAAATTATTCGATCTAGATGTAGATCTACCAACCAATGGCACAGATTCATCATCACTATTATCTGAACTTTCTTCTTCTAACTCTAAATCTAACCCCTCATCACTGCCATCATCTATAAACTACTCCAAACCTTCTTCAGTCCGCATCAAACCGCGACATCGCCTTGAGCTCGCCATTTTGGATAGAAACTGCGACATTTCGTGCGAAACAATGGCCTAAAACAAATGCCATGCAAAGCTATCTTAATTCGAAATTTAGGGAATCAACCAAATTATAGGGATTAGGACAAGCTTTCCAATGATATAGGGGTTGTCCACCTTAGACCAGTAGTTTGGTTAATAAACACGTTTAAAACCGCCATCCGCTGACTCGGCGACAATGGTAGATTCCCCTGTTATCCGCTGACGCGTCATCAAAGAGTTAATGGAATAAAAACACAACTCGGGCAATTTTCCCCTCCATCCATGCCCCAACCCTCATTAGATTCATAGATTGGCAGGTCTGATTACTGTTCGTAGATCTGCAGACATCCAAATAAGAGGCAGTGGAAAAGGTTATTAGTATTTTTTCCCCACTATTTCTCCACAAGCTTTTCCTGCCTGAATAAATAGAACCTTCCTGTGCTGTTCAAACCAGCTTTTTCACAAGTCTTTTAACTGGCTTCTCTTGCTCCCATTTTCTCCTCAGCTCAGCCACCAACAAATAACTTTTTAATAAGCCCAACCTCTCACCATTGATAAATCATGTGGATTTAGGTTATGGTCTTATGTGTTGTGTCGTGGGGAATTCAGGCACTTCTTTTTTGCTGACAAGGCGCTTTTTTGTGCTAGAATATTTTTGCTCCTTGTGACTTTATCACCTTTGTGGAGAGCAAAATATGCATAGTCCCAGTGGTGTTTTTTTGTTGTTTTTTTTTAACTCAACCTGTACAGTCAGAAGACATATTTTCACTGATTTCATGTCATGAAAGTTAGAGATTAGCGGGGAAAAAAACTTTAAAAAATATCTTAATTAAATTTATTCGCAATCATGTTCTTTAGACAGAAACACGGGTGGCTTTTGAGCTACATCTCCTGGCTAAAGGGGGAACTTTATCAAGCTATTGGAGATATAACGTCAGAAAATGTACTTTCCACTTTTCGCTGTTGTCAGGTCTGATTTGTACTGAATGAATTGTCTTCGTCATGATTAACATTTTTGTATTTCAGAGGATTACTACAGATTGAAATAATTCCCAACATTTTGCCATAACCAAGAGCACACCTGTGAGTTATGCTTTATCTGTTGAAGGTATACTTTTGCTAAACTTGCTAAGTTCTTTCTTTTTTTCCCCTTACAGTCGACGAACCAAAAGGAGGAGACACACAAGGTCCCCAAGTCCAAAGAAACGATCCCGTTCCCGTAGTGGCTCAAGACACAAGTTAGTATTTTTTCTAAGTCTTTTTGGTAAGATTAAGGACAATCGGTTACCTAAAAGAAAACAAAACCAGACCAAAGGTTGTAAGAGATTCTGAAGTGCAGGATTGTCCGAATGCTGATTTGGTGGCAAGTCCTGTTGGTCCTGTTGCCTCTGCCATAACCTCTTCTTCTCTTATTGCAAGTGCTTTGGGGTGTCTGCCATGCAGTAATTTCTGTCTCTTAATGCTAAGGGTTTTTCCTTGTGTCTGTGAGTCACTTTTCTGTCTTGCCCTATTTAGATCCAGAGCTCTCTGCGAAGCTCGTGTTGGTGCGGAATCAGGACCCTTCATACTTTGCAAGTCTGTGTTATTGAAATAAAGTGTTCGCGTTTCATTGGGTGGGTGATAGTAAATTATACCTACAGTGTATGTTGTAGCTTTCTGTTCAAGACTGGCAGATTTTCAGTGCCACTGCATTTTGCCCTCCCACAGTTGTTACAGCCCTTACTGTGCGTGGTCTTCTTGAGCCATTCGAGTTATTCCTCTCCTTTGAGTTTGAACAATGATTTTAGTCTGTCAGTTCATAATATGAATCATGACACCCAGACTGGTTCTTGATAGTCGAAATTTTTGTTCTAGGCCCTTCCGAACGCTCAAAGCAGGAATAATTTTTTTATATGATAATAATAAGAAATTATTATAACAGACTGAAATTCAAGTCAAAGAAGACCCCAGTATGACATTAGACACTGACATGTTGTTGACTGAATACATGTATATTGTACACGTGTGTGTGTGTTGTTATATGTAACGTAACATGCCCCTGGAAAATTGAGAAGCCGGTTTGGCGCAGTCACCCTGTGTGCCCCTACCACCAGGGCAGTGCTACTGGCTGAAGTGTGTTTAGGCCATTCCCAAAGGAGAGATATTAACATGTTCTTATGCACAGTAGAATTGTAATTGGTAAATGGGCTGATTTTTCAATGTCATGCTCATACTGTGCTGGAACAAAATAGGGGGAACTGCTGCTTTTTCTTTCCTCATCCTTACTATTGTCATCTTTCCTCTACTTCTTTTGTATCTTTGTCACTCTCTTGTGAACTGCTATTTCCGGGGTGCCTTCATATTCGAAGCAGACTTTGTGCTGTTGAGGCTAGAGATGTGAACAGAGTAAGCCTGATTCCCCGTTTGGACTTCTGTTGACATCCACCCCTTGGCGTTCATATGACCTTATCAGTGCTTCCACTCTTCCGTATTTTTACCAGAAATCCGTACTTTCTGCCAGTTTCGTACTTGTTCCTCCATCATTATCAACTCCCTCCTGAAAAAGCTACGACAGCGTAAGACTACGGAAATTAAGACTACGGAAATTCCGTAGCAAAAGATCCATATTGCCTTCGTATCGTCTAGTACTAGTATAAGTTACAGATTGTTACAGTAATTCTCTCGACAATAAGTTAATGTTATAGAAACTTGCCAGAGTGCGCATTTCCTGCAATCGGTCATTATTCCGCTACGCCCCATGCATCCATTGCGGACTTGTCGGCAATACATTTCGTCGGTCATCTCACGAAGTGTCGTAACTGCATTTTTGGGCATTTTGAGTTATTTATACCATGCCGATCAGCTTGACGAGATCTTTCTTCTCTCAAAGCGAAAAGGTGCTATCTCTACTAGTTTTTGAGTTATAAGATATCCGTGTTACGTCGTATCGTAAAATCAGGACGTATCCAATCTCACGAAGAGTCGTATCATATCATACGTCACTTCGTGAGATACAATAACAATATACTGCTCTCTCAGTATCGGTCATTGCCAATCTCACGAAGGGACGTATCTCTATCAACAGTATATTGACAGTTTCATATCCGTTGGCATTTGGCCTCTCGCTGCCCTTAAACTTGCAAATGTGCAATCTGGCATGAGACAGTGGAAGTCCATGCCGCCATTATGCACGTAGTCTTGAAACTTGTTTACAGAAACTGCGATTTTTGCTGAAGCTCTTTAAAAATGTGGGCCTTTTGCCTGAAGTTATCTCTAAATGCCAGGGTGCTACTGCTGAGGAGTCTTTTGAGTTTGACAATTGTGACACTGATCCATCATTTCAACTGGGGCTGTGTGAAGCTAGGTGTTGTAAAGAGGAAGTTTTTGCAGCATGTGATAGGTGTGATGCTCTTTTATGCCATGATCATTTTGTGGAGGACACAAATGTGTGTGATCATGACAAGAGGAAGAAAACAGAATCCACCAAGAAAAAGAAGGAAAACAAAACAGAATTGACAAAGAAAAAGAAGGAAAACAAAGTACTGAAAGAAAATGGAAAGGCGACTGAATCCAGTGAACAATCAGAACATTTTGTTCTTGAAGACCCACTAAAATAAATTGCAGTAGAAAAACAGCTACAAATTAATAAGCAAAAGGCAGCCAAGAGAAAATTGGCTTCAGGTGAAGATTATTTCAGCCCTTATACAAAGAAAGTCATGCCTGCGAAGAAAATGGGGGAAGCCTGCTTAGGCGTTACGTGCAAGAATAGAACACTAGAGTGATATAATCACAGAGTCACGGAGGAAAGACATTTCCCAAGAATTCTATTCACTTGCAAGCCTCCAACTTCAACGTGAGTTCATTCTGCGCCATGTAGTGAACAGTGACAAGAAGAAAGAAAGCGCACACCAAAGTCGGTGCCAGAAGACCAATGTATATTACCTGACTGCTCAGGGAAGCCTTGTTAAAGTTTGCAAAAAATTCTTTTTGAACACTTTAGCCATATCAGACAGAACAGTGAGAACAGCCTTCAAGAAATTGACACCCAGTGGATCAATAGAGAAAGAAAGAAGAGGTGGTCGGCAATCTGCAAAAATTGTTGAAAGAGACACAAGAATTTGAAATGACATTGAAGAGCACCTGCGGCGGTTCCCAAGGATGGAGTCGCATTATTGCCGTGCCAGCAATGCAAAGGAGTATCTGCACCCAGACCTGAACCTTAAAAAAATATACTACATGTTTCTAGAGCAGTACCATGGGACTGACCCTCCAAGTTTCGATATGTACAGCCGAGTGTTAAAAAAAAGCAAACTTGGCTTTCCACACACCCAAAAAGGACCTTTGCTCACTGTGCACAACGTTCTTTGAAGGGGATGAAAAACAAAGTCTGAACTCAAGGACGCATTCTAGAAACATGTCTCTGAAAAGAAAAGAGTAAGAGAAATAAAGGAGGAATGCAAGCAAGGGGCATCAAAGGATGAAACAGTTCTGATTGCTACATTCGATCTGCAGCAAGTAATCTATCTTCCCATCT